GAGAGAGAGAGAGAGAGAGAGAGAGAGAGAGAGAGAGATATAGGTTGCCTCCTGCACACACTTCCATGGGGGATCGAACCCACAGCCAGCTGAGCCACATGGGCCAGGGCAGTAATGAGGAGTCTCGTTCAGGAGATGCAGTGGGGAAAAGTAAACCTGATATTATCCTCTACAAAGAATATGAAGGCTCCGTTTCCAGTGCATTTAGGTTTAATTCATCTCCATCTTGTATAACGTTTTGGGTTCTGGTGGGCATTCTCTCCCATAGTTCAAGAAACTTTAACTGAAGCCCCATTTAACTTCCTAGATCTTCCTATAAGGGGTTTGATTCTCTGAGAGGCAAGAAAGCAGATTTAAAAAAAAAATTTTTTTTAATTGATCTTTCATGGAGAGGAGGAAGGGAGAGAGATAGAGAGCTAGAAACGTTGATGAGAGAGAAACATTGACCAGCTGCTTCTTGCACACCACCTACTGGTGATGTGTCCACAACCAATGTACATGCCCTTTACCAAAATCGAACCTGGGACCTTTCAGTCTGCAGACCGACGCTCTACCGCTGAGCCAAACTGGCTTCGGCAGAAAGCAAATTTTCTTAAAAAACATTAATAGTCAGGATGTCTGGGTTTCTGTAAACCTTATTAGCATCTAATACGGAATCTGGCATATAAGAGTTAACAAAAAAGAAAAAGGAATTCCTTCACCCTTTCTTCCCTTCTGCATTTCCTACAACATCTAGCAGAGCCTGACAGGTAGTCCCACAAATAAACACGCACCGAGTTGATAACTGCATCAAATCCCCGAAGGGACTAGAGCTTACGGAGGCAATGGTGAGGGCAGACACAGCACCGAGGCAGCAGTAACAGTGGAGGCCTCCGTGGGAGCAGTCATTGGGAAAGATCTTATCTTAAAAGCATGGTGAGGGGGAGTCGCATTGGCCCAACAATGATCAGAAGAACACAATTCAACGTTGAGCATATTACAAACCAATGAAATAACTTCGTGAAGCACTAATAATTTGAACAAAGTTCTGAATCTGGAGCACTGAGCACATGCACACACACACACACACACACACACATGTTCACATATATATGTTGTGATATTGTTACTAATGATGAGTATTCTAGAACTGTTGCTTGAATTAGTCTCTAACAGCAAGAAAACAAAGTTTTCTTTTTAAAAGACAGGAAAGACGTCAAAGCCGGTGGAAAGATACACATGTTAATGGGGACAGCAAGAATGCTTTTTATTTATTTTTTTATTTTTTTTTTAAATCAATCTTTATTGTTCATATTGTTACAAAGGTTCCTCATTTCTTCCCCCCTCCACCAGGTTCCCACCCCACCCTCCGCCCCCTCCCCATCCCCCATTGTCCTCATTCATAGGTGCAGTTTATGTTCAGTCTCTTCCTCCCTCCCTTTCCCCGATAGTAAATCCCTTTTCAGATAGTAAATCAGTTACTTAGCATTTTCTCATATCAATAATACCACCACATGCCCAATGATACATTTCACACAAAAGACATTTCCAAATAGGTCAACCAGCCTCATCCAGGCCCCACCCATGGCACTCACAGATCAACACCCCAGCCCTATACTAACTCAACACATCCAGATCTAAGCCTTCATCACTTGATTCAGCAGACCCTCAAATTCCCACAAAAGTTTCCACCCATGTCTGAGAGGCAGCCTTGGGGCAGGGGCAGGCGAGGAGCAAGCTGTTCCGGGCCTGGCTGCTCCGGGCCTGGCCTCTGTTGCTCTGGTTCGTTCCACAACCAGCTGCTCTGGGTCTGGTCACCGCAGCTCCCGACCTAGTTGCTCTGGACCTGGCTGCTGCTGCTCTGGGCCTGGCCGCACCCGACCCGGCTGCTCTGGGCCCGGCTGCTCTGGGCACGGCCGCTCCGGGCCTGGCCGCTCCCAGCCTGGCAGCTGCTGCTCCGGGTCTGGCCGCACCAGACCCGGCTGCTCTGGGCTTTAAGTCCACTGATAAGAGGTCGATGAGGTAGGCTAATTACTAGGTGCTGCTTTTATCAAAATGATCAATAATGGCTCTTTCAGGCGCAGGAAAAAGGCATTCCCACACACAGACATTTATTCGTCAGCTTTACTAGGGAGGTCTGAACACTAAATGAACCGGATAAGGGAGCTCCTTGCGGCCACCTTTATTGAAAGCTGCTACCGGCAGCGCTTCAGAAAAACAAACTCGGCCAGGCAGAGGCAGCGGAAGCCTGGCCCCATCAGCAGCGCCGCCCAGAGGGGCTGAGACCCCAGGTCCCTGACCCCACTTTTCACACCAGATTGGGAATTTGGTCCTTCACGTGTCACCTGAGACCTGTTCCTAGGTGTGGCCACGATGAATGAGATGCCTGGCCCACAGTGAGGCCCAGTGCCAAGCAGCTGGGATGGTGGGCCCCTCTGGTCGCAGCCTAGTGCCTCTGTCGCCTTCACCCCTGCCCGGGCAGGGCCCTCGGACACACGGCCACAGCCAGTGTTGGCACAACCTCTTCCTTTTTGCCAGATCAAGTAGCCAGCAAAGTGTGTTGCGCCCTACTGCTGACAAATTTTTAAGAGGTGCAGATATTGAAAAAGGAACACAGGACTGGGGAGGGAACCAGTGTATCTCTGGTTTTACTAAAGATACTTTGAACACCCACCGTTGTTGTTGTTTTTTTCCTTAATAAAAATACAGCCGAAACCGGTTTGGCTCAGTGGATAGAATGCCGGCCTGAGGACTGAAGGGTCAAGGGTTCGATTTCAGTCAAGGGCATGTACCTTGGTTTCAGGCACATTCCCAGTAGGGGGCGTGCAGGAGGCAGCTGATCAATGTTTCTTTCTCATCCATGTTTCTAACTCTCTGTCTCTCTCCCTTCCTCTCTGTAAAAAATCAATAAAGTATAATAAAAAAAAAATACAGTTGCCAAAGAGAAAGCAGCAATTTAAATGCCAAAAGCACCAGGCACAGCCGAGGAAAGGAGTGGTGTTCAGATGATTAATTATCCTCACACTGGCTATCCTCTGCCCCCTCTCATTCTAAGAGCTTAACAGACTTTGCCAATTAGTTAGTGTGAATCACCCTCCGCTTGCCTAATTTGCCTTCAAAGTTTGTACTCAGCAATTTGCAGTTACTTAACTATCAGCTTATATGGTTTTGGTTTGTTTTGGGGTTTTTTGGGGGGTGGGGGAGGGAAGGGAAGAAAAATTGCTCATTCCTTAGTATTTCAGTAACTAAATCGGTAATTTTAGGAAATTTTAAAAAGTTACTTTTATCTGCTACAGTCAGAACTCAGGGTGTAATGGGCCCACTTTGGATCTCATTTAGCAGGACTGATTCGGAAAAGAAATATAAAGACTTCATTTTGGTAATGAATTAAGGAATCTAACAAGATCTTGTTGCTTAGGCCCTCAAAAGTTAGTTTCTGTGAAATGCGAGTATGACTGTTTTGTTTTGTTTTGTTTTTGTTTCTTATTAAAAAAAAGGAGGGGGCAAAGGGAGAACACACCTTCGAGTCCCATGGGAGAGCAGCCACCGGAGACCACGGTTACCAGCTGGCCACTCCTTTTTAAAGTGCTCGGCTTATTTTCAGATGGCCTCTCTAGATGTAGTAACAGTTCTTAAATAATGTGGAATTATTCCTTTTTATTTCATACAAACCCTTTTTACTATTCCAAATTTATTCTTTGAAAGTGACTTATTTTTTCAGCAGTAAATTTCAAGTCTAAGTTTGACCTAAGTTCTTTCTCTTAACACATGAAGGTCAAACCTGAGCGATGTTGGCTCCACTGAAGTTTTTCAAAGCAAACCAAGTGCCCACATCCTCCTGTCACCTCCCCTCGGCCCTCCAGGGCGCACCGAGCCTCTGCTCAGGACACCCAGCCCTGGGCCGCCTGCGCCTGTAAGCACTGCTTTTCCACAGCCCGGCAGCTGGAGCTCCTGGTGCTGAGTGAGCGAGTGAGAGAGAAAAGGGCAGGGCAGGGTGGGGAGGCCCACAAAGATTTAGGAAAATGCAGTACCGGTAACTCAATTCGAATTGCCTCAGAGGCCAGATTCTTCAAGGGCAAATACAGGGTAAGCTGTGCTAACTTGGAAGGTCATCCAGGGTGGCAATATGGCACTCAATGCAGGATACACTAGGCTTTCCCCGCTTAGGGCAAATGAGAGGAAGTGACTGCTAGACTTAAAGGATTTAAATAAGTCAGTCCGCTCACAGGACAACGAACAGACTGTCATAGAAGGCCAAGAAGTAACCCTTGCATCTCCTAACGTAGACTTCTGCTCCTGCAGAAAGTCCTTGGCTTTCCCGAATCCAGCTGGCACAGCGTTAGGACAGATGACCACGGGTCAGCAGATATGACAACACCCTGAGAGCCAGGCAAGGACGGGGAGAAGAGCAGCAGAGCGCTTTTGTGTGTGGGGGCACGAAGAGCGAAGGGCGTGTTCCCGAGCGCCATGCCCGGGACAAGCGGGCTCCTGATGGGGACAGTGGAGTGCGGGCACGGTGTCATGCTGCGGGCGGTGCTCCAAGTGTGGCCTCTGACAAGAATGCTATGGGCCAGAGGCAGCACTGGCCAAGGGGGAAAGCAGCGACTCAGCACAAACAAGAAAACATTTCTCAGTTCCCGAGCGGCCTCTACCCGTGTAGGAAATGCGAATCAATGCGCACATACACACATGCCCAGGCTGGCGACACATGTGATGGCAGAGATGAGGGGCTTCTGCTGGCAGGACCCCTTCCTCTGGAAACGAGAGCCTGTGTCAGACCCTCATGTGCCTGTTCTCTCCTCAAAGAATAATTTCCTTTCCTACCGACTACTGAAAATATATCATACAGGGCTTCCTAACTCAAAGAACCCTTTATGTCAGAAAAAAAAAATCATTGGACGTTAATATATAAACTAAAAGTTACTATTGTATAATTCCTTGTAATGATAAAAATTCAGTCCTATTTTACAGAGTGTGGAGCCACGAAGCCTATTTGAAGCAAAGTTACCAAAGCAACTCACCTGGAAGTCCTGGTCGTCGATCCCAAACCTCTCCCGCAGGTTTCGGAAGACCATCGGGCAGTATTCCTTAAACTTGAAATGGCTCGGCATGTTTTCTCTGAAACAGCGTGTGGTGAGAGAAAGCTCAGATACACAGAGTTAACCAGACTTGAATCTCCCACCAGCCAGTTCCATGAGCAGCCAAGGACGTGCCTAAAATTCCCCTCCTAAGAGGCTCTTCCCAGAACCACAGTGGACCCTGGAACAGCATGAGGTTAGGGGTGCTGACCCCCCCATACAGCTGAAAAATCACGTGTCACTTTTACTCCCCCAAAACTCAACAAATAGCCTTACTACCAATAACACAGTCAGTCAATTCACACATAGTTTATGTTTCATGTCTATTATATAGTGTATTTTTACACACAAAAAGTAAGCCAGAGAAAAGAAGATGTTATTAAAATTATAAGGAAGAGAAATACATTTGCAGTATGAACCTTATTTATTTATTTATTTATTATTTTTTATTGATTTTTCACAGAGAGGAAGGGAGAGAGATACAAAGCTAGAAACGTCGATGAGAGAGAGTCATCGATCAGCTGCCTCCTGCACGCCCCCAACTGGGGATGTACCCACAACCAAGGTACATGAATCGAACCTGGAACCTTTCAGTCTGCAGGCTAACACTCTATCCACTGAGCCAAGCCAGTTTCGGCCCATATTTATTTTTTTAATCTACATGTAAGCGCACCTGTTGTTCAAGGCTCAACAGTACAAGCCACAGTAAGACCGAGGGCCGAAGGTCAGACCGATAACATTTGTGTCCTCTCACCACCTAGGAGCACATGACCTCTATGACCTTTTAATCCTGACCACATGCTCCAGCTGCTTCCTCAAGGAAGAGGAGGCTGCCAAGGGGAGGGGCCACCCTACAGAACGTGGTGAAGAGAAAGCCAAGAATGTGGACAGAGGGAAGGGCCTCGAGCAAGCCACATCATCCTGTCAGTAGTGGATGCAAGCTTTCAAAACAAGACCTCTCTCACTCGCTGAATAACCTATCCTATATAATAAAAGGGTAATAGGCAAATTGACCTTAACAGTGGAACAACCGGTCGCTATGACATGCACTGACCACCAGGGGGCAGGCGTTCAATGCAGGAGCTGCCTCTTGGTGATCAGTGCACTTCCACAGGGGGAGCACTGCTCAGCCAGAAGTCAGCACTAAGCCTCTGTAACAGCACTAAGGATATCTGACTAACAGCTTAGGCCCAATCTCCCGGGGAGCGGGCCTAAGCCAGCAGGTGGACACCCCTCAAGGACTCCCAGACTGTGAGAGGTGCAGGCCGGGCTGAGGGACACCCCTCCCCTCGAGTGCACGAATTTTCATGCACTGGGCCTCTAGTTTTATATAAAGACCACAACTTAAATTCACATAGAAAATTCTCTCAAAGGTGAGCTCTAAACAGTATTATGGGAAGAATTGACCCCTGAGCTTCTCAGTAGCACAATGGCCCCAGGAAGAAATTTCAGAACTCATCTTTTGAGGAGGACTTAAAGTTTATACCACTCATTCAGAAAACTGGCTCTTTCTTTGTGTTCACACATTCCTCTGTTGTGGTACTCTGCACACCAACTTATAATATGTAATTTGTATATATGTCAGTTTCCAGCCACCCACCTGGCTGCCAGCCCCTTGAGGGAAGGGCTGTTTCTTATGAATTCGTGTAGCTCCAGCTCTCAGTGAACTGCCTAACATATAAGGGGCCCCAGAGTGACATCTAAAATGACATCCCACCTGGCCGATGTGGCTCAGTGGTTGAGCGTTCACCTATGAACCAGGGGGTTGATTCCTGGTAAGAGCACATACCCAGGTTGTGGGCTCAATCCCCAGTGTGGGGCATGCACGAGACAGCAGATCAATGATTCTCTCTCATCATTGATATTTCTATCTTCCTCTCCCTCTCTGTTCCTATCTGGAATCAATAAAAATATATTAAAAAAAATAAAAATAAACATAAAATAAAATGACATTCCAATGAAGGAGAAATAGTCTCAATACCCAACATGCTGTCCAATTATGTTCTATAAAAATGCACCTTAATTCTTTATTGTTCATTGAAGTCATCATTTCCGTTCATAAAGTAATCATTGTGAGGGTTTTGTGTAAGATAGCTGAAAAATAGCTAAAAAAAAAAAAAAAAAAAAAAAAAAAAAAAAAAAAAAAAAAAAAAAAAAAAAAAAAAAAATCCAAGCAATTTACAGCTTGAAACATCTGAAGTGTAATGAGAATATCACTTTTAACATATAAGCTATTCATAGAGAACAATATGCCATATGGCAAAAGGATATTACCCAAGAGGCCTGCTGTTGCTTTTGTGAAAATGACAGATGGTTCTGTTTATCACAGGATTAACTTCATCAGAAAAACTTTACACCCACCCATTGAAAAATGTGATTATAGAATTCACAGAAATCATACTCCTGGCAGCCAACATCGGTTCTAGGAAAGTTCGTGCTTGTACTTACTTGTTAAAAAGGTGATTGTCCACCTTTATCTTTGAATAGGCTTTGAAGTCATCTGGCATCAACATAACAGGGATTTGAACATGGCTCAGTTCATTGATCTGGAAAAACATAAAGTAAACGGTACAGGTTACTACTAACTGGTGGGAAGCGTGTGAAACTTTCAGCTCCCCCCCTGGATGGGGAGGTGGGCACCGCAGCAGACTCAGCGCGATACAAACTCCCGAACAACAAGAGCCGAGGAGCCCCCGGGCGGGGGAAGGCATTGCCGTGCCAGACGGGTGGGGGCCCGGAGCCGGGGGACAGAAGCGCCTGCCCTCTGGGTCCTTCTGGGTCTTGCCCTCCGCAGCGCTTCATCTGGGTTCTTTTTAACGTGCTTCATGACAAACTGGTAAATGTAAGGAAACGTTCTCCAGGAGCTGCCCTGGCAAATGGAACCTGAGGAGACAGCCTTGGGAACATTCCATAGACAGCCAGTCGGTGAGGAGCACAAGTGACCACCTGCCCTTGCAGTTGGCCTCTGAAGAGGGAGCAGGCTATGGGACGAGTCCTGAACCTGGGGGATCTGATGCTGTCCTTAGGTAGACAGGATCAGAGTGGAGGGCACCGCTTCCTGGTGTTAGGAAAATTACACATGAAAGACAGACGGAGCTCTGGCCGTTGGTTGGAGTGTGACCTGTACACCGCAAGGCTGCAGGTTCATCCGGTCAGGGCACATACCCAAGGTGCAGGTTCAATGTCTGGTAGTGTGCATGCAGGAGACAACTGGTCAATGTATCTCTCTCACATTGATGTTTCTCTTGCTCTCTCTCCTTTGCCTTCCCTCCCTTTCTAAAATAAAAAAATAAAAAAGGATACATAGACAGTGCATGTGCATTCATCAAATCAAAACCATCTTTCAAAAAAAATAAAAAAACAAAATGATAAAATGTTCAATTAGCCAGAAAGATAAAATTCATATTTTATAAGTACCTAATTAGCTTGAAAGTAAAAAGCAAAAACTCTTCAGACCTCCGGGATAATGGACAATCCATTGTTAAAGAGAAAGATTTGAATATGCTTTGATAGTTCAAATAGACCAAAAAAAAAATTGAATATTATTCATTCAGTATTTACTACACACCTATTACTGTCAAGTGTTTATCTAGTTGCTTTGGATAGGTTGTTGAGCAAAATACATTAATGTGCCTATCCTCCTAGAACTTATATTGTAGCAGGGAGAGTCAGAAAATAAAACAATAAAATTAGTAAATTACAGTGTGGGTAGTAAATTATCTACGATGTTAGAAATACATATATATCCTATTTAATTTAAAAAAAAATAGTAATATGCAAATTAACCATCACTCTGCTACACCCACCAGCCAATCAGGAGTGGGTATGTAAATTAACCCAACCAAGATGGCTGCAGCCACGGAGAGAGCAAGAGGGAGGCTTGGGTTTTCCTGGCAATGAAGGAAGCCAAGCTTTCTGCGCATGCTGGCCGACCCAGGCTTCCACTTAAGGTTACAAAGTTTCAATTATAGAACATAAATAAATCCCAACAGAAATGGCTGCTGCCACAGATCTAACAGAAGGCTTGGCTCTGCTCCAGGCTACAAAGTTTCAATTGTAGAAGGTAAATAAGTTCCAGATACGAGGGCCTCTGCTTGGGTCACCGGGGGGGACATGGCCAGCCTGCAAACAACCACAAACCCCTCACCTAGGCCACTCCACGCCCCAAGGGAACCCCCACCCTGATCCAGGACACCCTCAGGCAAACCAGCTGGCCCCCACCCATGCACCAGGCCACTATCCTATCTAATAAAGGTAATATGCAGATTGACCATCACTCCAACACACAAGATGGCTGCCCCCATGTGATCAAAGATCCTGCCCCCATGTGGACACAAGATGGCCACCTCAAGATGGGAGGGACCAAGCCTACAAGGGAGGGCAGTTGAGGGCAAAACAGGCTGGCAGGGGAGCAGTTAGGCATCAATCAGGCTGGCAGGAGAGTGATTTGGGGGTGATCAAGTTGGCAGGCAGAAGTGGTTAGAGGCAATCAGGAAGGCAGGCAAGTGAGCAGTTGGGAGACAGTAGTCCTGGGTTATCAAAGGGATGTCCAACTACCCTAGGATCGGGCCTAAACTGGCAGTCAGACATCCCTCAAGGGGTCCCAGATTGGATAGGGTGCATGCTGAGCTGAGGAACACCCCCTCCATGCACAAATATCATGCACTGGGCCTCTAGTGTGTGTGTGTGTGTGTGTGTGTGTGTGTGTGTGTGTGTGTGTGTGTGTATTGTGGGCCAAGGTTTGAAAGAGATAAGGGATTGAGTGTTCCAGTGCAAATGTTCTGGAGATGTGCATGGTATGCTTGGGAAAAGGGGACCAGCCTGGCTTTAGCAGATTACGTGTGGAATAGGAAGAACTGAGATTAGAGAAGTAAAGAGAAGCTGGGCCTATAGAACTCTGGAGATCACTGAAAGGACTCTGGCTTTTACTCTAGGCGGATGCAATGTTCTGGGTGGTAGAGTGATGACATCACTTAACTAACTTAGGTTTCAAAGGACCACTGTACTGGGTGGGGAGAGTTTGGGGTGGTGAAGCACAAGTGCAGAAGTAGCCATAACAACAGTCTGCTTTGACTAGAGTGACCACATATTTTGAAAGCAGAGCAGCATGATTTCCAGTGGTCCTCAGTGTGTTGTGGGAGAAAGACAGGAGCCAAGTCCTGCTCAGAGGCTTTGGCCTGAGCAATCAGAGGGAGCTGCCATCAACCCAGACGGGGGACTCCTCAGTCTTCATTTTTATGCTTTTGATTTTTAAAACCTGTTCTGAAAATTAAGTACTTTAATAATATTGTTTAAACTATGAAGACAAGAAAAAACCTATGTGCAAGCCACCACATTTTCTAAAAGAAATATTATGTTAACATTTATTATAGTAATATAGTTTAATAGAATACACATACTAATTAGTATATAATTATGTTCTACTGAGCTCTGCACAAATACTCAAACCTTATGATGGAATTCAAACCCCATTTCCTGACCTGCCTTGACTTTCACATTTTTACACATCAGCTGAGAATCCAACTTTCTGAAGATACCATATAAGGAAAGCAGCACAATTTACGTTGAAATTGTGAACTCCCTCCAGCTAGTGGTTTGCATCTGTCCATGTTGCCATTGAAATTTTAAAATATCCCATGGCACTCCTCTGAATTTGCTGCAATGCCCTAGGGCACTTCCCACAATTTGGGAAGCACAGATATAAACAGTAGCAGATACTTAAAACACCAAATGATATAATCTAATTATGAGCTAAAGTAATCAGAATAATACCTTAAAATTCATTGTATTAGATTATAACCTATAACCACTTTATAATGACCCAAACAACCTTAATTACGGCCATCAGTTAATCCTTACCTCATAAAAACTGATCCATATCACCTTTTCATGCAAGTGATTTTCTTGGGATAATTCTGTACCAGACGCATTTGTATAAGGCCAACTCACAATTCTCCTATCAAATTAATGTGATAACTTAACCAGACATCACATTTAGCTTGTTCTATATTAATTAAAATTTCCTTCGTTTTGTGCTGAGTAAAAATGCCACTCAACAACCTCTAGACTAATTTAAAATCATATAATCTCTCCTATTCAGTTGAATCAAGTATCTTACAATATTAAACAACTAGAGGTCCAGTGCACAAAATTGTGCAATGGGTGGGGAGGGGCCCTCAGCCCAGCCTGCGCCTTCTCGCAGTCTGGGCGCCTTTGGGGAATGTCTGACTAATGGCTTAAGTCCACTCTCCACAGGGAGTGGGCCTAAGCCAGCAGTCGGATATCATGAGCTCTGCCCACTGCTGCCTCGCTCACCAGCCATGAGCCTGGCTTCTGGCTGAGTGGCGCTCCCCCTGTGGGAGTGCACTGACCACTAGGGGGCAGCTCCTGCATTGAGCATCTGCCCCCTGGTGGTTAGTGTATGTCATAGCGACCAGTCATTCCACCATTAAGATCAATTTGCATATTAGCCTTTTATTATATTGAATTATCAGAGTACATATGTAAAAAATTTAAATTTACATCTTTATACTAGCACTGGAATATCAAAGTTTAAAAAGAGAGAATCAGAACTAAAGGTCAAGTCTTGTGACAATAAGAACAATTAGAATGAAACTGATGCCAATCAATTTTTCAATATTTTATGGAAATAAAAGTGTAAATAAAAACAATGGAGGTTTACAGGATGGCCAGAAAAATTAAGGAGTAATCAACTTCATATTGCTTTCACTAAATTATACAGAAAATGTTGGAGAGAACATAAATGATTTCTTCTATCACATCTATGCTCCAAGTGATTACTGAGAAAACAAAACCCAATTTTGAAGTAGAAAAAAAAAATGCTTTTTGCTTTATAGTTCCTGCTCTAAAAAATGTTTCATGGAAAAATGTTATGAAAAGCTTTCAGCCAAGATGGGATGTGCAATCTGAGCATTCTCAATATTTCCCATATCGATTCCTTTCATGAGTATAATGCGTCAGCGTCCACTCTGGGTTGGGCAGGGCCCGAACCCCAGTGCTCACCCCCACGGTGCTTTCAAGAGGGGCACATGCATTAACTGAAGAACTGCACAAATGTAACACTTCCACAGTGACAAGCATCCGGAGACAGGACTTCATGCTATGAGCAAGCATGGCCGGCGTGGATCAGGGTGGTGAAAGCTGAAGGAGGGGCTGGCCCGACTGGAGCAGAGGGCAGGGGGAGAGGGGTGCCAGGAAGCAGGATTACAGTGACAAAAGGGGGCACAGTGAACTGGAGAAATAACAGGTTAATGTGGTGGGAGTGCAGACACTGAGAGGGCACGTGATGGGATGGGGCTGAACAGCACGCCTAGAAGGCCTGAAGAGGACGGTAGCCTGGCAAAAGGCGGAGGCAGCCGAGATGCGGGAAGGAGATCACAGGGATACTGAGATGGTAAAACACAGGCCGAGGGACAGCAAAGACTGTGAAGCCATTTAGGGACAGAGTATTATAAAAAGAGTTCAGTTTTGAACTTGTTAAATGTGATGTGCTCCTGAGACATGGTAAGTGTTGATGACAAGGAGG